TCAGAATCTTGTAAGTTTATTTTTTAAATTTTACTTTCTAACCATTTTTAAATTAAATTTTAAATTACTTACAAAATATTAACGATCAAGAATGTTTTGATAAATGATGATAGAGCTTTTAATCTCGGACTTTGGCATATCAAAAACAATTGAATGGCTTTTTTACTTCGAGCATAAAATAGCAGATATACTGGCGTATATTGAGCCACAGAGGGTGGACAAGTGGAGATAAGGACATCGATAATTGCATTAAAGAATTTCAACTTAAAGCTATATTTTATATTGATGTAATCGAGTAGATTTCTTTTAATAGATTAGATGATAATCAAAATATTTGTGAATTTTTAGCAACTTGGCTATATGGAATACAAATCGTTTCAGGTAAACATAGTAGTGCAGCTGCCTCTGTTCTAAACATGAGCAAATGATTAAATATGATAAATGATCTGACATTTATAGTCTAGGTGTATTATTTTGGGAACTTATAAGTAGTCAGTGTACCTTTTGAAATTCTATGCAATTTGATTTATAACAATAACTTCAGGTATGTGAATAAATATTTAAGGTTCTTATAATGAAATTTTCATTTGTTGTTAATGACGTTTAGATATTAAAAGTAAATCCTCAGAATTTTCAACTTTTTTAAAATGAAAAAAAATATAAGTAACAGTTAAATAATAATAAACTAAATTAAAAATACTAACCATCCATAATTGTATTTTAAATAGCAACTTTTAGACTTTAACACAAATATCTACGAAGATATATAAGCGAAGTAAACGCAAAGAAAAAACCAGACTTCGAGTTTATTATTTACTGGCCTTGGCCCTGACTATACCACATAGTATGTAATTAAATTTATTTTCAATTAAATGAAAGGAGAAGGTCAGATGAAAATTATCGTGTAGAACAGGTTTCCCTTTCAAAATTAACATTTGATACATTATACAAAAATGGAAATGAAGTTCAAAATAACACCCATATATAATGTAGGTTTTAAAACAGAAACCTTTGAATTTGAAATAACAATGAAATTTGAAATAACAGGCAGGTGATTGAAATAACGTATTGATGCGATACTTGAAAAACAGAACCCGGTTCTTTATGCCATTTGCAATTATAATTTCTATATATAAAATTAAATTTTTAATACATTTATACTACTTGAAACTCATACAAAATCTATACTAAAAAAATTTTTGTTTAATGTATTTTTTGAACTTAAATTTTTTTCGCTTTCAAAAATTATATAGCTAATCAATTTTAAGAAAGATTACTAAATTCTAGAATATCGATACGCGGTCATGCAATGTAAATCATTACTATATTAGGTAATACCAAATATGGAAAAACACCAGACTGTAATAGCATAAAACTTATTTTTCTTTGAATAATGATTCAATACAAATTTCAATTAGATATATTCGGTTACTCTTTTATCTTATTACTTACTTGTGGCTTGTGCAAAAATATTTAATATACATTCTGCTGCCTCTTTTTTTAATTCTTGTGAATAGCGATTAATCCAATTTTCTATTGTATTTTGTGTAGGAACATCCTCTTCATTAATCTCTCCACATTTTACAAGCTCTAATAGACCATTATGCATATCACTAGTAGTATATCGATCACTTGAATCTGCTTGGCCCAACATAAAAAACCTTTTTAAAACTTCTACCATGTCTTTTGATAATCTTTTTTCTCTTTTTTTTCATATTTTTGATTGTGTCTTAATGCCCAACCAAGAGGTAATGAGAATAAAATAATATTTGGTGCTCTAATTATTAAACAAAACAATAATAATAAATTGACAAGATACTATATAATCTATTTAAAAAAAAAATCTAGATCACTTACTTGTCAATATCCATCAAATCGATATTTTTAGTCACTACATTCTTCATACTGGTGTTATTATTTTCTAGATTGTCCAAAGTTTTTAAGCATAGGTTTGTTTTTAAAACAGTTATTAATTCATCTCTGGGTGTATTTTTATCAACAAAAATATCAAGATTCTCTAATTCTTCATGTAACTTAGCCATAGTCCACCGTCTCAAATCCCATGAATTAGTGTTAGAAGCTTTGTTAAGTAAGATATTTATAGCATTTAAATTATGTTTACTTTAATTTGTCAAATTTGAAATTCTAATTTTTGCACAAATTGATATTTTAGTTACCAGATAAACGGTATACAGGCATGGTTCAGATTCCTTGAGGTGTAGTATGATTTGAATATTCAGGCTGTGGTTGCTTAATACCTGATTTTAACAATTTATAGATCTGTGTAGGTGAAATATAATTTGTCTTTCCAAAACCAAGTAATGGGCGTGAGTATATGAATCCTGCATATGGCCCCTCAATTGGCCAAGTCCATTCTGAGTAGTTAGATATTTCTAAAATAGTTTTTATATTACTTTTTTTTTCTATTTTTGTGGTTAGGTTGAATATGAGTAGTCGAAGTTCCACTAAGATTTTGCATTGCTTTTTCTATATCTTCACAATTTGTTACATCAAAACCAAGGCATACATATCATTTTATACAATGAGAAATCTAAGCACTTACAAATATTAAAATATTTGTAATGGCAAGGATAATACGGTAAGAGTGTCGTAAAGGGAAAACCTATAAATATGAACTTATGCCAAACTTATTGTATGATCTCAAATTAACAAACCTATTGGCTAATTATAGGTTATAACCTTATAACCTATTATGATATATAAAATTTATATTATATTATAATCACTTTGGTTATATAAAGTTGGTTATGACCAACACTGCATAGTATAATGAGAGCTAAGAATTTATTTAACCAAATACAAACAAAAATTATTATTTAATGAAATCTTCAATTAAATTAATTCTTAGCTCTCTTTAAATTGTATATCTCAAAATAATGCCTGGGGCATTATTTCGAGATTATATAATAAACTCGGAAAATTTAATAATTATTATTATCAAATTTTCTGAATTTAAGTTTGGCATAGTGAAAATTTATATTTTTAAAGTTTTCCTTTACAGTACTTGGATACGACCAGGGCGGCCACTACTTTTCCTGGTCATATGATAAAACGCACCTGCTACAGTTTGATGATACAATACAAATTGACCACACCAAAAATCAAATTTTTTGTGTGGTCAATTCATATTGTGTCATCGAACTGCGGCAGTGGCGTTTTATTATACAACAGGAAAATTAGTGGCTGCCCTGATCATATCCAGTACATGTATTATAATACCTGAGCATGGTAAGAATCTATTGTTGTTTTAGCTTCTCCTGCTTCTAAGAATATCCATTTTTTACATTCAATATCATACCATTCTTTCCAGTATAATACTATTACCATCAACTCTGAATTGTGATAGTGAGGGCCATTATCAGATATAACAATAACCTATTTTGGTTTTTGTTCAAGAAAATTGAATACAGCATCGAATGAAGAAGCAGTGAACCAAGCGTCTTGTTTAATATCAGCAGACCAATAGTCGAAAGCATGAATATTTATATCTGCTGAATTTTCAGATCTAGTGAATACAAGAACAGTATGTAATGTCCATCCTTGTTTCCTCAAAAAATCTTGTTTAGTTTCACAAGCACGCTTTGGTAAAATACGCATTTTGTAATCTACAATTATTAAGGCACTACTTGAATTAAGCTGCATTAAATTGGCGTTAAGTTGGCTATTAAGATATTGTTTTTTGGTTTGATGCGAAATATAGTACATTAATTGACTTTGTAATTCATTTATGGATTCTAATTTTTTATTAGAAATTATATCACGTAACTCTCCAAAAAGACCAAATATTCGTGTGTATTTTTGACATTCTAAAGAGTGAACTTTATTACACTCTCCAAATGCAAATAGTAAGCAATGATTAATATATATATTATGTTGTGTAATACCATCACAATTTATTTCTAAATGTTGACAATATTGAAGTTTTAGATAATGTTTTTGGCTCTCCAATTCTGATATAAGATAAGTTTAAAATAAAAAATTATTAATTTAATTTTATTTTTGGATAAATTCATTTGTCACTAGCAGTTACAGTCCTGGGTCAATCAGATTGTATGATTCAAAGAACTCAAAATCCGAACTTTTATATTAACAAAAAAAATTTTTTACTTAATTTTATTAAAATAACCTTTTTTTAACTTCAAGTAAAACTCTAAATGACATATAGTACTGTTACTGCAGTTGATAAATAGATTATCTTTTTTTATTTTCATTAATAATATAATTAATTACCTGTTGTTCTAGGTTATTAACTTCTTCACGAACTAGATTTATTAAATCAGAAAATACATCATACCCATACTAGCTACAAATTGAGCAAAGTCTACCTAAGTCCTCTTTGTAAGTAAATGGACCATTTTTTAATCGATCAAAAAACGCAGCCCGTTTCATGCCATTTGAAAATTGTTGATGAAATCTTTTCCACAATACATCTTTTTGATTATTTAAATAAAGAACAGGTAAACCACTTTTTTTATCAGTTTTGTAAGAACTCATATTTATATTATTTTTGTCAGAAAAAAAAACTTCAAATTGTTTTTCGCATTCTTCTGACATAATTTGTTTTACCATAGGTGGTTTTGGAGGTGCAGGACACCCATAACCATTAATTCTTACATACATTTTGGCTGTATTTATACTGTTAGGTGAAATCTAATATTAACAATAGATGTTACTAAAATTTTTTTTAGATTAGGGATTGGCTAGAGATGTAATCCCGTAAGGTAAACCTAGTATATATTTCACATATTGCATGCGAGACTTTTTCGCACAAGATTTTGAATCATGTGATAAGAATTCATTTTAGATTGTATGTTAGAAATTTCATTAAAATTTTCTTAATGGAATAGTTTATCTTATGCGATATACGATGTTCACTTGCGCGAGTCACATAAATTGTGGGCATGATACTTTTATCATCTTGTGCAAGGTACATCTCTAAATATTAGCTGAGATCGATTTGCTTACATCTCCCCCTTCTAAGAAATTTAGTTCACCTTACGATATCAGGTAATATCTGATACTTCTCTTATAATTTATATTTAAATAGCTAAGTATTACCTGAAGCTTTTGTCTTAAGATTTGATAAGGAAAACTATTTGCTATAATTGATAGTATTCATTGTTTACCATTTGGACCTTTTTTATTATTGTTTAGAGATAGTTTAAAGAATTCCCAAAATATTTTAGTTGAATTTGGTAAAATTGAAGGAACTGAACGCAAAAATCTATTTTGATATAAGAGGTCAAGTAAATTTTTTTCTTTTATAAAGTCATACTAATTTTAATATTATATTTATATTAGTAAATAAAAATTTATTTAAATAAGTGCTGTTGAATTAAAACTAGTAAGTAAACATTCGTTTTCACTATAGTGAACTAATTATATTTATGATTCAATTATGTATTGTAATTTTATTATAATTTTTAGAGTTAAGTTCACATTAGTGAAAACTAAAATATTTGCTTGAGTTTTAATATGAAAATCTGTATTTTACTTTATAAGATTTAATTTGAATTATATTAGTAAAATTCTATAAAGTAAAATTATAAAACACAGATTACATATTTTATTTAATGTGTTATTTATTTTATCATTATAATTTCTAACCTTTGATTCTTGATACAAAAATGGAGTAATATTTGTACATCCTGTTGCACGTAATATCGCATGCCATGCTCTTAATTCTCGACCCGATACTTCATAATTTTTTGGATAAATTTCGCTTAAGCTTTGATGTAATTCGATAACATTATCGTTTTGTTGCCATTTTTGAAAAAAAATAAACCAATTAATTTGACTTGAAATATGTCTACGCAAATGAAAATTATATAAATTTTCTAATTTTGTATAATTATGCCATTTATTTGAATAGCATACTAATTCTTGCGCTTTTTTTAAACTTTGTTGAACGTTTATATTATTTAATCCAAACAGAGTAATACCGCTAATTGCTTTTAATAAGCCTGTTTGAAACCATACGTTATCAGGATCTTTTTCATAATAGCTACTATCAAGTTGATATGTTTTATAAATTTCAATAAACGCACAATATTCATTAAAGCCATAATAAAATAAAGATTTTTTTTTTTATAATCATATAGCATAGAAAGTGAATACCCTTCACCTGCATAACACCAGTGATTGGCGTCGTAATTATGTGATGCTAATTGTCACATGATACAATATATAAAATCAACCTATGTAATTATATCACAAAAAATTTTCCGGTCACATGACTTTATCGTGGCGCAAACCAATTGAATTTCAGGATCAGGTGTAACATAAAAA